TAGATGAATGTCCATGGGAATATTTCGAGTGTTTTTTATGTTTTTTATGATGATTAAAAGAATAATGACTAGAAAATTTGTCGTCTTCTTCATGTTCATCGTGTTGTTGATGTTGATAATTGTAATCGTTCTGTTGCTCAATTGAGTCACCTTCTTTTTTATTTACGGAATGGCTGGAAATGTTGTCTTTTTCATCGTGTTCATCGTATTGATGATGTTGATAACTTTGATCGAGGGAACTGCCTTCATTGTGGTTTGCGGCGGTGAGTTTAAGGAGACTAAGGATTATTAGAGCGGAGAGATATGGTGCAGAACGAGGGATAAGCATATTGAATTTGTTATTAATAACAAATTACAATATGGTAAGAGTGTACTATTAGGGTATACTGAATGATCAATAAGACGAGAACGAGTCTATTTATAATAAATGCTTCGTTCGTGACATGATAAGAACAAAACCAATAGTAAGTAATTGTTTAATAATAATAAGAGAAAAGCTGCAAAACCTATTCTAGTTATCAAGATAATTCATGAATACAATATGTAGACACGTTGTGTACGCAATCGTTGTTTTTTTTCAAATGAAAATCATTGGTAAATTCATAATAAGTTTGCATTTTTGCAAATATTAGAGGTACCGCAGTTTCAAGTATATTGCATAATTATTGATTGATAGATGCATTAATATGTATGTTTTTTATTTCAATTTAAATTACACTTATTTGTTTATCGATCAATTTATTTAGTTACCAAACTTGGATTGTCGGCTAGTGTTAAGATTTATGACGATCTAATTAGTGCAACATTTAAAAAATTTATTGGATGTTGTTCGACCTAGTACCAAGTGTAGCGCCTTAATGTTATTGAAGATATATCTTCAAATCAGCGAAATAATCGATTTAAAGCACTAATTTCAGAAGCACTCCCATCGGAGCAACGTTCAGAACTTGCGTATTGTGCATTTCATATTTATTATTCATTTAGCCTAACGCACCTATTGATGTAGAGTTCGAAATAAATGGTTAGAACAATGCTTCTTATCTATTTATCAAATTTATGTTTTTTTTGTGTGATGAAATAACATTTTTTAAAAATTAGAATTTCCGTTGGAAATTAATAACAGGTATAACTATATTATAGTGACATTAACCATATATAAGTTAGATCGACCGATTTTTTAAATAATACTATGCTAATGAATTCGAATTTTATAAGTTAATTAATGTGAATTACAAACAGATTGATAAACTAAACCATTTTTATATATTATAATTAATTAAACCGTTAATATACTAACCTTTGAAAGGAATAATTCTTTAATACTTTAGAATTCAAGAAATATTGCAATAAATTACAGATGATAAAAGGGGAATATTCCGAAATAGATGCATGTTATTGTGTAGAACAAGGCAAAAACAAATGGAAGGGGGAATGGTTTTGGTTTTTTTAAATATTTGATTTATTTTTTTGTCGTAAAAACATGATGAAATCATGTAGTAAATTTACATTTGCAGTATTTATCGAGAAGATCTTCATGTAATAAATTTCTGGTTATAATGATTTTATTCAGGTAACCATAAGCATCAGGATCTTAAAAACATAGACGTCAATTCTATAGAACTTATCGGATTAAAAAGATTAAATCGAAAGGTAAAAGCGTAAACCAATGATTAAAGGTCATACATAAATTAAAAATAGAACAAATAATTTATGCCAAGAAATCTAATAAATAATAATTTCGGCGGATGAATTTAGATAACGATAAGGAATACTTTTTTAAGTATCCGAAATAAAAAAATCTTCAAAGTAATTTTTATATTTTGCATTCTACAGTGCATGGATCTAAAGATTGGGAAACTTAAAACATTGAAAGTTTACAAATATTTCAAATTTCTAGTATGAGGCCACATCACATTTTAACATACAGTGCTGTACGTATATACATACGTACCTTATGAACATTCAGGCTTATTTTTTTTTAATAGTAAATTTATTAATTTACACATTAGTGTTTATAATTTACGAATTTGCATAATATATAAATTATAAGATAAAAAATTAACCAGCTTAAGATTAGGGTAAAGGTTAGCTTTAGGATCAGAAATAATTTGGATAGGCAACAATTAATGCGTTATTATAAATATTGTTAAGTTTTTTCAAGAACATAGAATATAGAATTTAAAAACATTCACATAACTATTTTACCATTTAATTATGTAGTAAACATAGTAATTAGTTTATTAGTTTATTAAAATTGCGTCTAAGTAATTGATATCTGATTGATGCTTTAAGTAATCCAAGTAATCCAAGTAAAACTTTCTGAACGCAAAAAAAAACTCTTCCATGACTTTTATCTATAATGTTAAACTCTAACACTAAATTATAAAAGTATATACGATATTGTACACCACTGGTAATAACTAGAAATGAATATTATATCTACGTAGTAATTTATAATTACATTTTCGTATTTGGATTTCTTTTCTGTTATATTAACCACCAAAATTATTTACATAATTGGTATTTAAAATCTGAACTTTGTATTTGTTGTTTGATGTTTGGGTTAATAATATTTAACTATAATTGTTATTATTTGATATATGTTTCTAATATTCTTTTTCAAATCAAAAATCATTATTTCACAAAGATTTTTTTTTTCTTTATTTTAGTACATATTATACCAGTTTAGCACATACCAATTTAGCACCATGCTTAATTAACATTAAACAATTCTATTAGCTATGCCAAGTTAGACTAACACTCTCGTGCTGATCATCATAATACCTATATTATACGTAACAGATAATAAGGTAAGTAACACTAACTTCTTAAAGAAATCTACTTTATCAGGATATTATTGTTTTCCTAAAAAAAATAATTAAGAAAATTACAAAAACAATTTACGTGCGCGATAAAAGATCACGATACTATATTGCTGAAGATGTAATACGATACGTACTCTCATATGAGGATAATTATCTACTTTGTTTTTATTTATTTGTTTTATCTAACGTTTAACGATAATAAACTTCTGTCATTAACGCTAAAATCTTTATTTATTTAGGTTTATTTGTTATAAATGCGAATTAAGAAATTGGTGGCCGAGTCACAATACACCAGTGCCAGTGCAACGTTGCGATAATCAATTTTTATTTTACATAAAGAAGTTAAATCGTCGAAACTACTGTTAACTTCTTTAACCAGGACCAAGTAATAATTAAGGCAATAAATTACGTATGCGTAATTACGCGACGATATATAATAATCGAAAGAATTAAGCAACATATAAAAATGATTGTTATATACTCGAAAAGAAATCTTTGTAAATGCGCAAGGCTTTAGTAATCACTACTTACGCATTATATATACTCAATAGAAACTATTTTTAATATGAATACGTAACAATTTATTATGGATATCTTACTTATTTCACAATTACATTTCATTAGATTTGTCTCTAGCGATACAAACGTCATCGAAGACGATCAAAGTAACACAGCACATGATCAATCTTATCACGAGTCATACAAATCACGTGTATTACGTCTCATTTATAAAATTTGATTACTGTACTAATATCGATATTTACGAATATGTACGAATATGTAATATGTACTTATCTTTGACTTCATTAAAGCAGGTTGGATAATGGCCATTAAGGCGTCATACATCTTCCATCTTTGTACGTATCGCCATACAATGGTCATGTTAATCTTACCTTTATAGTACAGTAGTATGAGGCATATTCTGATCGTTATGTATTCTTAGTGGCTTAACCCATGTGAATTTCCTCTAGTCGCGTATACGCGGTCGCATAAATTTGATACTTGGGAAGGCATGTGTAAATCAGGATTAGTATTGAGGCGCTATAATCTTAGCTGATATAATGAAAAGTTAGAATGTATTTTAAAAGGTTGCTCGCCCTTAGTTCATCATCTAATGTACGCTCTCTGAAATTGTCTCTGAATAAAGAATACATAAACATGCATCCTTTTATATAATAAATGCCTACTAATCATGTAAAATCCAAGTTCCCTAATTTATAATCAGGTTTCAGCATCTCTCTTACGTCAACCATCGGAGTTAAACACGGCATGATTGTCGGAAGCTCTCCCATTCGATGGTGATAGTAGATGGTAAATTTTCCAAAATTCGAATAACGTTATGAAATTTACGATAATATGAAGAATCCCTTTTTTTTACAATAAATAGTCGTAAAACTTCTGGAATAAATCTTTGCCTCAAAGTCCTCTTATAAAAATTAATTCTTTGAATCTTAAAAAAGTTGGCTTTGAAAGAAATCATTACATTTCGAGAGTATAAAAAATTCCGTAATTTTGACTTTGAAAAAATAAGATCCTTCGGATTAAAATAAACAATTTGATAAACAAAAACTACAAATTCTCACGTTATAAACTTATCTCACGCCTCTGGCGACTAACCTAAATTTTCTCTTTATCAATTATATCTTCGTACATCTTTCGTTATCAGTTATATAATTTTGTAACTAAAACCTATATTTAAAAACAGAATACAATCAAACCCTTGTAATGCAACCCCTTGAATATACGACTTTATTTGCAATACCTCTCTAAATGCGTGTGGTCTCGTCATAATGCATTTATTCGGATGTATCATTTGTTAGTGATTCACAATTTCCAAATCAATATTGCAATTCGATTGGTCAAATTGTGTTCAATAACCAATGGTCATTCAATATATGTTAATTAATATTCTAATCCTTTTAACCAAAATTAAAATTATACGTATCGATATATAAAAGCTAAAATTAATTGAGCCTTATGCCTTAAGTAAAGCTGTAATTACAGAATTAGGGATAACAAACTGCATGTGTGATACATGATGTCATGACACCGTTGAATATCTGATTAAAATTTTTAACGATGACATAATGCTGTGAAATAATATATAGTTATTGGATGCGAAGCAACCAATAACTATATAATATTTTCACATTATGTCATCCTAAAAATATCATCAGAAATGTTCACGGGCGAACATTACTGCTAGTGTTGCAACCCAAACTATTTAGGACGTCTCAAACCATGTGTCAATCAGTACCACATAGTGTCGGCAATAAGAAAATAAAAACAACACTATACTAATTATCACATAGTTTGGGACGTCTCAAACCATGTGTTAATTAGTATCACAATAAGAAAAAAAAACAGTCGAAACTAACGTTATACTAATTATCACATGGCCGTGAAATATATATTGATATTTTAAATTCGAAAAAGAAAGAGTACGTAGTATTTCATTATGTTTTTTCCAGATTCGTATATTCGTGTTTATGTAAGTGTAACA